TGTATGATCCAACTGTATTACTGCAAGTTTGTGTACAATTGTGATCAATAGTCTCGCATTCGTTAATATCTGTGTGTACAAACGTAAGTATCTGTAATTAAGGGTCAGTTCTATTATAGTTTTTACCTTCACAGGTTGAATTGTCATTCATAAATTGATATCCAATGTTACAATCACAAGTATATGATCCTTGAGTATTGATACATACTTGATTACACACGTTACTATTGCATTCATTAACGTCTACATATTAATAATAATGCATTAGTATTATAACATAATAAACTTGAGCTTACCAATTCTACACCTGTCTCCAGTCCAGCCAGGATTACATACACAACTGTTAGTTGGTACACAATATCCATTACCACATACTGGGCTACATAATACTAAAGATATGAGATACTGTTATACATTAGATGCATGTAATTGATCCATACCTTCATCACACTGATCACCAGTCCAACCATCAAAGCATTGACACAAGTTATTAGCAACACAGATACCATTACCACAAGAAAAATTACAAACTGGAATCACATCTAACAAAAATATATGTACATATAAAGTAATTACATGTCTAAATACTTACTTGGTTCTAATAAAACTACTGCTGGCCTTCCATAAATATAATAATCATAGTAATATCCCTGAACTTGAACTGATAGTTTCCCGTTTCTACCAGTATGAATTACTGAATGATTACTAAAATATCCATTAATTTCAATTTCAGTTCCGTATGCTACAATATTCCTTTTAGAATCATATATTGCTGTCCAGTTTACTGTTGCTAGTCCATTATGTAGAATAGCTGTTGGAGAGAATCCTTCAACTGATGCTGTAATAAGTAGCTTATGTGAATGATAAAACCCAAAATATTTATAATAATCGAATTCAATTTTTTGTAGATATTGTTCCATTGGTGGTATCAATACCATAGTAGGGAAATAATAGAAGTATAAATGAGGGAACAAGACAATAAATATTGGATAATCAGCTTCCACAGAACAATATTTAGTTATGTTATACTGATAAGTACCAATTGCACCATTAGTAAAGTATCTTGTAGTGTTACTGGTTCCATCACAGTATATTGTTACACTAGTGTTGGCTTGTGAAGTGACTGTCTTCACAATAGAAGAATACGTGCTGTCAAAATTAGGGTTGATAAAATTTGTCAGAATGAACCTTTTACCCCAAGTTATTGTTGGAGGAACTTGTAACTGCATTCTATGACAATAAGGCATTTCTATCAAATAAGGAGTACTGCCACACTGGTGACCAGTAATAACAGTCAGTGGTTTATTAGAAATAAAGTGTGTTCCTGATATATCACTTCCATTCCCTTTACCCAGCAATAGAGTCTGTCCCTCATGTAGTGTAATAGTATGAGAGTTACCTTTAGTTACTAATATATCATCACTGCCATTTTTCTGTACATCAATAGGAATGAAGAGATCAACTGTTGGTATAATACTAATGACAGTATTATTAATACAACCAACTAGAAGAACTGCACTAAGAGATGTGTTACTGTAACTACTAGTAGAAACAGCATAATATTCATACTGACTGACTCCTGGGTACTCATGATATG